GATTGGATGGGAGGGGGGAGGGGGAGTCCGGACTCCTGGGTTCTATGCTTAGCTCTGGGGATGGGGTTTGAGCAGATGAAGAGGGATCTGGACTCCTGGACTCTGTTCCTGGCTCCCACAGGTGAGTGGGGTCTAGTGGGTAAGAGGGGGGAGGCTGGGGGTCAGCACTGTAGGGCACCTGAAAATTTGGGGCACCGCTGGGTCCTAAAGTCCACCTACCCGCCTCTTCCTGTCCCTGCTCTGTGGCTCTGCTTCCTCCAGAGCGCACCTAGGTCACTTACAAGTGACACAGCCTGGGAGCTCTTAGCAGCACAGCCAACCTGTGACTGAGCCATTCGAGGGCCAGGAAGCCATTCAAGAGGCATTGGCCACCCCTAGGTCCAGATGGTCAGGTCCTGAAGTTACTGGGCCAGTCAACAGGGCCTGAGTTTAAAATCGGCTTTACAACGATTTCGTTTGTGTGTTGCTGACGATTACAAACAATCACAGCTCAAAAACCGTCGTCCCTTCCCGGGTCATCCCCTCCCGGCTGCTGATGGGCACGAGGGCACCCATTTAATAGTCCTGCGTCGGGCCCCACGCATCCTAAGGACAGCCCTGGAGTCAGGACTCGGGCCTTTGTCTCCAGCTGGGATGTCTAAGGGGTTGGCTGAGAGGAGGGGAGACTAGTGGTTAGGGTGGGGGGCTGGGAGTCAGGATGCCTGGGTTCTCTTCTCAGCTCTGAGGAGTGGAACACGGAGGATAAGGAGAAACACTGAGGTTTGGGGGCACCCAGAGCCCCTGGCCTGGTGGGTAAGGGAAAGCGGGGGGCACCCAGGGCCCCTGGCCGGGGGAGGGAAGGGACACAGAGGGCACCCAGATTTCTAAGCCGCCAAGCGACACTGCTCAGCTGCCTGGCTCAGCAGCTCGGGAGCATGGCTGGTCCATCCCTTGCTCTATCCCTTGGCAGGGGAAAGGCCCCTCGGGACCCAGCGACTTCCCCTGCCCCGTGTGCAGCAAGGCCTTCCCCCTGCAGCGCATGCTGACCCGCCACCTCAAGTGCCACAGCGCGGTGAAGCGGCACGTCTGCCAGTTCTGCGCCAAGGGCTTCAACGACACCTTCGACCTCAAGCGGCACACGCGGACGCACACCGGTGAGGCCGGGGCTGCTCTCGGGGCGCAGGCGATCCAAGGGGCGGGCTCTTTGGCTCACCCCCCCCCATTCCCCCCAGAGCCAGGTCCCTGATACTCAGACCCCCCCCCTCCCCCTGCCCGCGTGTGTGACCTGGACCCCCAGGGCAGGTGAGGGGAGTTAGCTGGAATGGCAGGAAAAGGCAGCCCCAGGGGCATTGTGGGAAAGCATTGGAGGACCGTGCTGTGGGAACATTTTAAGGGGGGGGGCTGAAATCCAGCCCCCTTAGCCGTTTATTCCTCTGTTCCCGGCTGAAGCAGGACAGAGGCCAGGAGCCTGGGGGTGCTAAAGTCCCCCCCCCCTCCTCCCCAGTTCTTGTGATCAGCACCCAGGTAAACAGCCTGTGTCCACATGGCCCAGGGGGCAGGTTAGATCCCCAGTGAGTCCAGGGTTAAAGCACCAGCCCAGGCAGATCTTGGTGCCCCTTAGCCGTTTATTCCTCTGTTCCCGGCTGAAGCAGGACAGAGGCCAGGAGCCTGGGGGTGCTAAAGTCCCCCCCCCCTCCTCCCCAGTTCTTGTGATCAGCACCCAGGTAAACAGCCTGTGTCCACATGGCCCAGGGGGCAGGTTAGATCCCCAGTGAGTCCAGGGTTAAAGCACCAGCCCAGGCAGATCTTGGTGTGTAGACGGGACTGGGCCGAGGTCCAAAGCAGGGACTTAGGCAGGGGACTCGGGCTCCTGCGTCTCTCTGCCCCCTGCCTTGCTGAGGGCCCCACCAGGCCCTGACCTCTCAGGTGTGACTGCCCCCTCCCTGCAGGCATCCGGCCCTACCGCTGCCACGTCTGCGCCAAGGCCTTCACGCAGCGCTGCTCCCTGGAGTCCCACCTCCGCAAGCTGCACGGGCTGCAGCAGAGCTACGGCTACCGCGAGGCGCGCGCCAAGCCCCTCGTGTGCGGGGAGTGCGA